AGATTTGCAGAATCTGGTCCGTCACTTTCAGAAACCATATAAAGGGGTGCAAGGCCATTTACAGCAAGAGGATATCGGCAATTTTGTTCATTCCTTATCCGCCTGAGGTCTAGCAGATTATGCAAAGTCTAAAGAAGAAATTCAAAACATATAACTTCTGCTTTTGTTTTGCTTACAAGTATGGATTTCACTACCATCGCCGCCCTTTCCGGTTCCAACTGCATGGACGTTTGCAAAACTTGAAATCGGCGGACAAGAATGCCAAATACCGATTCAATCATTCTTCTTGCTCTAGAATTGAACATTCTTCACTTCTTCAACATGGCTTTTTCGAAAAGACTAACCCACAATGCTTTTCATTAAAACGCCTTTTACTTGCTGTGTTGGCCTGAACCTCAGTAAAGGGCCGGACAAAACGATGCGCCTGACCAAACCCGCCGTCAACTAATATGTGGAACTGTACAGGTCCTACATCTCCCAAAGTTTGAGTTTGTGGGAAAAGGGCATCATTTTCGTCCACCCATCTCTAAAATGTTTAAAAATCATTTGGTTCATGGGCAGCACCATGACCTTCATCGAGGAGTCTCTGAAAACAGCTGCATCTCCGGCTCTACCGGGTGCTCCGATATCGTATGCGAGTATGCGGTAGTCTGCATCACATAACGCCAATAAAATAATTGAATAGAACTGTTTGTAGTTCCAGTACATACTGCCAGAATTTTTGGGCCTCTTAATGCGTTTTTGGTAATAGTAAAGGTAAACAAACTTAGCATGTTTACCTTGATTCTGATGTGTTTCCCATCAAGAAAACCCACCGCACGCGGGTAATCGTATCTGCGCTGTGTTTTTATAGCACAGTCTTCGAACATCCGCGTTGTGAGTGGTGGGAAAGCATCCGCAGAGAGAACTGTAGTTCTGATCTATTTTTGGTTTTTATACTTGAAGCTACTTCACAACCTTTTATAATGGCGTTCGTAACTTCACTAACGATATCTGAGACCGTTTTACGCCCACAGCATACTTCCTGGGACAGGGCCAC